AAACTAAAATAGTTAATGTTTTCAAAGAATTTGTCCTAAAGAATAGTTAACAATAATTTAAGAAGAAGGAAAAAAAAAGGTATTTCAGTGGAGAAATAGATAGATACCAATTTAACCAAGTGATCAGCAATATCCATAATAGGATAAACCAACATATGTTCCCCCTATGTGAGAAAAATCAACATTATTATGGTGGATTTGTGCCAAAAATTCATAACTCAATCTGAGCAAGAGGAAAGAGCAGGTAGACATTAACTGAGATGCATTCTACAAAATCACTTTCTCTACTGAAACCATCAATGTTATGAAAGATCAAGAAAGGCCAAGAAGTGTTCTAGATTAAAAACAGACTAAAGGAACACAATAAATTGTAAATCGTGTGACCCTAAGTGGGATCTTGGAGTACATGGGAGGAAATGCTTTGAAATATGTAATTGGAACAATTACTAAAATTTGACTATGGACTGTAGATTATATTATATGAAATTTGTGTATTATTTTTATCAGTTACTTTTTAAGCTTGTGAAAATTTTGGAGTAAATAATTAAAAACTTGGGGGAAGCTTACTTCTATGGAAATGCAACCAGCCTAGAACAGCCAAAGAAATAAATTCAGAGTACTAAAAATGATACTATTAAGAATAATTTTGAAGCTTTAATAATTTTCAAAAGTGTGATATTGGTCCAAATATGGACAAAGAGATCAACAGAATAAAACTCAGCAAAAAAGAGGCATTCATATGATTTATGCAAATTTAGTGGTTAAAAAGATGGTATTTTAAATAAATCATGCTAGGTCAGTTAGTTGTCAGCATAAAAAGAAATAAACAGTGACTCATAAATAAAGTCATATACTAAAACTAATTAGAAACAAAATCTAGACGTAAAATAGGAGTTTTCTTCTAAAGCTTTCTGAAGAAAACCTGGTATACTATATTTCCAATGGTTGAGTATGCTATCATTTATTACATAGGACACAAAGCAATAATGTTCATGGAACAACATTCAGAGAATGTAAAGGCAAACTATCGACTGAGAGAAGATATTCATGACAACACACGTTAAAGGGCTCATATCAAAAATACACAATGAGCTTTTATAAATAAAAAGAAGAGGACCAGGCTAATTTTAAAATGGGCCAAGACTTAAATGACATTTCATAAAAGATATTATGATGGCTAGTAAGAATTTGAAAGATGCTCAGTGAAATTAGAATTAGGATAAAATACAGAATGGCTATAATTTTTTTTTAAAGCTATAAAACCACATATCACTAAAGCTATGTATGGAACTCACTCATAGCTAATGGGTGGTGAATTGATACAACTACTCTGAAAATCTCTTTAGTAATCATTATTATAATTAAACATATACCCTCCCTGTGATCTAAGAATTCCATTTTTTAGTCAGAAAACTAAGAGAAATGAGCACATATTTCTACACAAAAAAGTACCAATATGTTTATATCAGATAAATAATATGTAGTATATTGAATACCACAATGAAATACCATGTGCAGCAATAAAGCGTAAGGAATGAATACATCTTGCAGACACTGTATTGGGTGAGGTAAATCACATGTTAAATAGAACATACTACATGATTCCGTGTGAGCTTCAAGAGCAGGCAAAAACCAGTCTATTGTGACAGAAGCCAGAAGAGTGTTTACCTGGGGTCAGGACTGCCTGGGAAAACGACCCAGTAACTGAGAGGGAGCACCTGGAATATGTTCTAAATCTTTATCTGGATGATATATACGTGCTATTCTTATACATATGCCTTATGGACGTATAAAAATTCATTGAGCCATAATTTTAAGATGAGTGCATTTTGTTGTGTGTGTTCTCTTAATATTTTTCCGTGATGAAAAGTTTTTTTTTTTTTTTAAACAACTATGAAACATCATAATACAATTCAGAAGTATAATTTTGAGAGCAGGGGAGATTGTATTCAAACCAAATTCAGAAGCAATAAAGAGTAAAGTGCAGAACCAATGCAGTCAGTGGTCCAGTTATATTCAGCACGGTGACTCGCTCTGCTCCTTCACGCATGCAGGAGGTGAAGCGAGGCCAGGAAAGAAAGCCTGAGGTATTTTTCAGAGGATCCCTAACCAAGCAGCCAGTCTGGCTGCCTCCGTAGGTTCCTTCCCGCCTCCTGCAGAGATGCAGGTTAACCCACACGCTGTGCAGGCCAGCCCGGGTCTTTCCCCGAAATCCTGAAGTCTAGACCGGATGCAAAAGTCGAAACAAACAGCATGCATTGCTGGAAGATGTTCGATAGTCACAGAAGTGCGCGTGTTTGGGTTGTGTGGGTCGATCCCCAACCCTTACCTCTTGTGTTACGTTTTATTTTCCTTTGTCTTCCTGTGAACTTGGGGAATTGAATGAATGCAAGTCCCGCGTACCCACCCAAGTGGAACTGTCAGTGTCTCTGGTGCTGAAGATGGAGAGAGCTGAGGTAAACCGAGAGTAAACACTGCGCATGCTCTGTAAAGATCCTCCGCCCCACCCCCCGCCATCCCTTTTCCTTCCCTTCCCCTCCCCTCCCCTCCGGTCAAACTGGGCAACGAGGAAAATAAAAATCAAAGCCTAAAAGTTTGTCCTTTGCAGATTCTATATTTTGGATCTTGCATTTTGCTTTTACACTTATGCCCAGAAAGCTTGTTTTGGATTTTCCTTCCTCTCAACTCAGTTTGCTTATAAAAAAAGAAAGGAAGGGAGCGGAGAGGAGAGGAGTGAAGAGGAGAGAAGAGGGAACATTTTGCTTCAGACCCCAACATAAGAAAGGGAGCCTTTGAAGGTAAAATGTCCATGTCTACCAAGCTGACCCATTAAGTCCAGAAAGTGGAGCAAAGCATTCCAAATGCCAGAAGAGCTTTGAAAATACTTAAGTGTTGCTCTATTTTTATTACAAATAACTAGTAAGCATTTTACTCATGCTCAAATAATAAAGAATGCAGCTACAAGTCTAAAACTTTGCTCAAAGGAGGAAACAACAATTGTTCAGAGTTCCTACTCATCTGAGAGGCAGTATGACATAGTGATTAAGACGGAGACATTGGAACTGACTGGGTTTTAACTTCCAGTTCTCAACTTGTGAGATAGGGAAGTGACCTAACTTCTCTATATTTTTCCCTCCATCTTTGAAATAGGAAGATTGCTAGGGAAGTTAAAAATGAGTTAATCAAAGAAAAGCCTTCATTTCAGCCCTGTGCTCCCTTATGTTATCAATATCTGAAGGTTTTTACCTACATTCCTATGGCTGTGTTAAAAATTGAGGGTCAGAATTCTTTCTTTACGTGCAGTTTTCTCACACATTTAAAAACTACGTGAACATTTGACATATTTCAAGTAACAAATGATAAGTCATTACCTAACTGATTTTTAAAGTGTTCAATTGTGTGATAGAGAAAATTAGAGATTAGGGCAGAATATGATAAAAGCTCATATTCCCATGAAGCTGGAAGAATTTCTGGAAGTGGCAGAATGCTGGAATGTTGGGGGTCCTCTTAGAAAATAAGACTTGAATGGGGTCTGTGCATTTAAGTAAGAAAGATGTGGGAGGCAGAGGTGGATACCAGAAGGAACCCTGAGAAGCAATGAGCTGGAGTGAGCTCAAGGCCACACAGAGATAGGAAGATAATAATGACAAGGAAGCAACCAATACTGTCATCCTTGACTTCACTCCACCCCACTTCATGACCACTGTCATGTTGATGAACTAGAAATAAGAGAAAACACCAGACAACTTCCAACTTACTGTTCTATGTATTTTATGAACAAAAATATTTGACAATATTAAGAAACAGTTATCATACTCTTTCATAATTATATGAATAACATTTCAAATATAAAATACTTTATAAGAACTATTTTTTGCAGTATAAAAGCAAACTTCTTAGCGGATTTATTCTAAACTATGCTAATATTGTAATACTCGGTGACAGACCAGCTTTAGGGGTGACTATTATAAATGAAAACACAAATGCAATTTTCAGTCCTTGGGGAATGAAAATACACTGAACGAAGTGCTCTTCCTGGTTCCATCAAACAATGTCTTCTACTTTTTGACTGAGGGTCTTCCTCTCTCCTACCTTTAACTTTTTCACCTATTTATTGGTATGTGTTACAATGGTACATATTAGGAGTGCTTTTCCCTAAATATCCCTAGCAAGCCACTTTTTCACCCAGAATCTTAGTAGTTCATAGGAGTTCAGTAGACCTAGCGGGGCATGTGTTTGGAAGGGGCGCTTTCAGCAAACCATCTCACTCCTTTGCCATGGCTATCTAGCTGAAGATGCGCGGGGAAGGACGGGCAACAGGAGGTCAGGGAGCACCAGAGAACCATCACGTCTGCTGAGAGGACAGAAGGGACGCACTTTGCACAACTCGGGTGCTAGCTCTCAAGGAGGAGGTGCCAGTCCCTGGGATCCTTCTAAATGCTCCCTGCGGGATCCCCAAGCCTCTCCTCCCCCGCTGAGCCCCGCCCCCTTCCCGGCCTCAAACTCTTGAGTCCATTCAAACCTTGCTTTCTTCGCTGCGCGCGATGTCAGGCGTGTAATTGGGGAAACTCCTCCCCGCCGGGACCGCCTCGCCGGCGCTGCCAGAGGAACAGCCGCCTCGCTGCCCCCACCTCCGAGCGTGCGGCGGCCTCACACCGCGCACAGAGCCCACCGCCGGGGCACTGGCGCTCAGCTCGCGGCGGAGGGGGCAGTGCCTCGGCCGGCCGCGCGGCTGCAGGGCCAGGAACAGCCCGCGCCCACCAGCTCCAGCCACCAGGCTGCGCGGACCCGGCGCCTGAGCGCGGGCGGGGGGCGGCGCGCCGTGGTGGCCGGGTGTCCCGCGTGCGCCCCGCGGAGTCGCGCGCAGACCCGCCGGCCGTCGGGGGCGCGGCGCGCAGCCGGAGCCCACACCTGTCCCGCCGCGACTGCCGGGAGTCTGTGTGGCGCCGCAGTCCGCGGCACGGGAGGTAGGGAGAGAGCGGAGAGCGGGAGGAGGCGAGGCCCGTGCTTCGGCGGACGCCGCACCCGGCTGGAGGCCCTGGACGCCGCTCCCCAAGCGCCACCACACCATGACCCCGAAGCTGCTGCTTTTCCTCTGCCTGTTCTCGGGCTTGCACGCGCGGTAAGTGGCGCCGGGGCCGCGCAGCCCCGGGCTCTGAGCCCGGCTGGAGGGCGGCGGGGGGCGCTGTCTGCCAGCAAGGAATCCCCGCGCGCCCCGCCGTCGGCTGGGTTGCGGCATGGCCCGCTTGGGCCAGACCAGGAGAAGAGGGGAAGTCGGCCAGCACCTCACCGGTCCCATTGCCCCCTGTACATGGCGGTCTGCTTTTCCAGGCTGGGTGGCTGCAGCCTTCCCTGCAACTGCGAATGTGCGGACTCAGATTAATGGGCTTCTCCTGAAGCTTTTAGGATATGGTTGTTTTAAGGGGTTTTGAAAACCACTATCATAAAGAACCGAAGGTGTCTACCTCTTATTTACACCCTTCCTACGAGTGTTCCAGGGGCGCACGCACACACACACACACACACACACACACACACACACACACTGGCTGACATTCTATATAATTTACATCATTGTGAAATTTCCCAGGAGCCAGAAGTCAAGATTTCCTAGCTGCCTAGTTTGGATCACACTGGTAAAGAGCATCCAGGCTGGGGCAGGTGGGAGAGGATTGGAACAAGGGAAAGAACCCTACTTCTCAGAAAGGATCCCCCCCCCCCCCCCCCGCCAGGGCCTGCAAACACACACTGTACACATGCACCCCTTCTAGATGAGCCACTTTTCGCACACAGGAACATATACACACTTACCCCCATAAGGCAAACTCGTTGAAATTGATAGTAAGGCTTCTGCCTGGTAACTGTAAGATATTATTTTACCCCAAATACCCTTAATCTGCCTCCTAAAACAGCAACCCACTGATGGGAGCTTAGAGACGCTCCTGGAAGGGATGAAGATGGCTCATGAGGATGGAAGGGCAGTGGAACCAGAAGAGTTAAACCCTGTTGCTGTAAATAAAACTGGATATTCTGGGTTTGGTTTCTTTAATTCTGTCTCCCAGACTAGTTCTTTGGCCCATAGCCTGCAGACTTTGGAAATCAGAACAGCTCCATTACCCCCAACACCCCCATCCCAAGAATCTTGAGATGCCCCTTTCCCCAAAACGTTCTTTGTTCATTTCCTGAGTCTGGAAGCCAGAGAGCTAGAGAGCCTTTCTATGGGCAGTTAGCCCTGCAGGTGTCAGCAAGCAACGTCAGGTCTTAGATTTTCATTCATATTTGTGAAGAAGGAAGGCACATTAACAAATCTTAGAAGACATAAAGGGACCCCCATTTTCACTCCCCACTTTTGACAGGAGTGTTTGATCCTGAGAAAGAAAACCCCAGTTCTCTCCTCCATACCACTTATCCCTATTAAGAGGTGAGAGTGTGAAAGGCAGACAGTGTGCCAGAGACCGTGTCAGCTGGTGAAACACAGGCAGCTCTCTCAACCAGGCATAGTACTCCTTGGGTCTTTCAACTCAAGTTTCTTTCTGTCTAAGAAGAGAGCTAGGGAAGCTTATGGAAGTGCACTTTCTGAAGTCAACTCTGCCTGGGTATATCTCTGTTTAGAGTTAGAAAGACCAGCAGATAGCACCAGGCATAATGTAGACATCTGAAATATATAATCTTGATCTGAAGTTTCATCTGCATGACCTTTCTATTGCTGCCAGCTGGATGAAGTGACCTGCATTTCAGAGTTAGATAATTACATATAGTTTAGATTTATAGCTACTTAACATGCTACAAGGAAAGCTGCTTATTGTCCTCATTAGTATGTGTGCTTAGTAGGAAGATATCTTAGTATCTAACATGAAGTAGTAAGGTTTCTAAGGATTCCCAAATACATGAACAATTTCTTGAGATTATTCATCCTTCCTTTTCACCAAAGCAGATGTAATGATATTAGTATGTTCTGTATCTTGGTTCATTCCCTGGCCTTTATAATAGAGGTTACATATCTGTTGCAAAAAAAAAAAAAATCAAATTTTATACTAATTGCTTTGCTATATGCCTCTCCTTTGTAAGTGTCTTTGTTCTTTGAATGGGTTTTACAGACATGTAAAGTAATCTGATGTCCAGTGTCCTCTTTCAAAACTATTATTAATGCTGAGAGGGTTCTCGTTTGCCCTCTGGAATGCCTTTCTGGTGTTCAGAGTCCCTGGAAAGGCTCTGACAGTTGTGCTCTGTGGTGATGCCTTGGTAACTCCATGGAGAGAAAAGCACCCTATTCTTGACACCCAAGGATAAGCTCATTATGCATTACAACGCACTATATCATGCCTGGACCTTGGTGATTCCTTGCAGACACTTAACTGCTTTCTGAGGTTTAGGAGTTCCTTTTAATGTTTAAAAATAATTCAGATTTTGTCTCTCTGTACTTCTAGTTGAAGAGAAGGTGTAAGACCTGAAAATAACATCTGAAGATTGAACAGTTCTTTGACAATGACAATACATTGCTGATTTGTTTTTAAGAAAAGCTAATTGCAGTGATAGTATTTAGGATCCAACATTACTGATAACAGAACACTCATAAAGATTATATATAGCCCACCTAGAATTTAGAAAAGCTGATCATTCTAGTTTTATTCATATTCTAGTGGGTCCTCTGAGACAAGATTTGTTTTTCATGAAAGGGAGGATTTTCCTGTGGGGCTGGTGGTCTGACACTTAGCACTGTGAGATTTCTACTTCATTCCCTAAAGTCCTGCAGCAAAATGACAGATGAGGATTGGGAGAAACTCAGTGTCGGTCTCTAAGAGGACAAGAGGATCTCTGCCCACACTTTGCCACTGTGTACCCCAACCCAGCCACTGCGCTGCAGGTGCTGGTTTACCTGCTGAAGGGGTGAGAGAGGACCCTGCGGCTTTTCCTTCCTCTTTCCCACTCTCACCTGCCTTGGCCTCTAAGAAGCTTACGCAATTTCAGGAAAACCCTCTGGTCGCCACTAGAGGGAGAATTAGGCTCATTATAATACCTGCGTTTGAAGTAGCTCCAAGTCTTTCTCAAAAACGAAGGCTGTGTGTATACAGAGAACTGATGAAGAGTTAGTGTGCTCAATCTATGTACATATGACCACTGGGGCAGTAGAAAATAACAGGGTATGGAGAGCACGGTCTGGCCTGTGCTGGTGAGCTGTCTTTGGGGGTGGGGGAGGGGACACAGGGAGAGGGATAAGAGAGAAAGGTAGGGGAGGGGAAGAGAAGAGGGAAGAGAGAGAAAGAGGCAGAGAGACAGAAGAGAGAGAGAGGAAAGCACTGTGGTGGAGTTGGAACGTGTCTTGAGAATGTTATGTATGATTCTGCCAAAGTGATCTGTCCCTCTGTCCATAGTCCCTCCAAATGGTTTTGCCTCAGAATGAATTGCAGTGATTGCTTCCAGCTAACCATGTCCTGTAGAACCTGCTTCAACCTACTCCTTTTTTTCCCAAGATGATAAAATTAATATCCCTGACAATATTTCTGATAAAATATTCTACAGTGACATTTTATATTCTGTAGTGTTATTTCTAAAAGTTCAGTTTTACAAATAATGAAATGCAGCATATCACTTCTTGACTGTGTCCCAAATTTTTTAAGTTCCTATTGATGGTGAATGTTCAGTGCAAATAAAAACTCATAGCATTTTCTAGTTTCTGCGGATAATTTATATTAACCTTCTAGCCAATAAAATATTCAAGAAATGGAAGTATAGTTTAAGATAAGCCTAGGAAAAACTTAAATGAATTCAATCTGCTAGACATTCAATCTGCCATATACTCATTTTCAAAATCTCATATATATGTATATATTCAAAAAAGGACCATACTATGTGACACTGCCCTAGTCTAGGTTAAGGCTAGTTAACACTCATAAATGGAGGGGAGGGAGGTGGGGGAATGGGTGAGCCTGGTGGTGGTAATTGAGGGCACATATTGCATGGAGCACTGGGTGTGGTGCATAAACAATGAATCTTGGAACATGAAAAAAAATTAAAAAAGAGAAAGAAAAAATACTGTAATGTATATAATACATGACATATGCATATACTTACATATTATGTAAAGTCGTGTATACTATTATACTATATATATAATTACATGATTATGATATTATTTATATGATTGTGAGCATTTAAACAAAATAGAGGAAATGATTTTTTGGAAGTTTTTTCTCTTCCTTTCTTTCATGTTCATTATGGAGAATTTAAGCAAATCCAGAAATTAATTTAAAGAAACTTGTGTCCCAGAGCACAACTGCCCTGGGATGATGTTAACATTTTGGCTCCTGTGTGGGAAGCTAAACGGAAATGAGCTCATACCAAGTCAGGACAAATAAACCTCAATACAATTTTCTATTCTAGAATTTGTTCTCTTTGGTGAAGAAAAAAGTCATTAAGGCATTTATATTGACAAAGTATAAGGAAACAAACAAAGTTGTTTGTTGTTTTACAAGTTGTTCCCTTAGTAAGTGAAAGTCCACCTGGAAATGCTGCTTTAAGGCAGAAGGAGACTCTCCTTTTTTCAAGTCCAAATGGTTGTGTTGTTGATTTGGCCTCACTCACTGAGAAAACTAGCTTGTCATTTTGAGGCCTCTCCGTTCAAATACTCCTGTCAGTGTGTATCACCCAGGAGAGGCAGCTGTCCTGCTATACGAGACAAGCTCAGATATGTTCAAGCATTCATTTCAGCCCATTTACTAAGAGGCCAAATGATTAAGACATATTAGAAAGTTTTTTTTTTTAATTTTTAATGTCTGTATCAATCTGCTCTGTAGGAAATGAGTCAGTTTTCGTTGTAAGAGGTAAAATTACCAGAGGGTATTCTCCAAACATCATCTTTGTTCCTTGCCATCACACATGAGTGCTAGCCAAGCAGACCACCTCATCATATCCCCATGTATCTAGAATGAAGGTTCCAGTCTCCTTAAGAAGCACAAAAGTTAGACTCAGCTATTTTCAGTGAATGCGATTCTGCAAAAGCAATTCTCACCTTCAACTAAAATGAGGTCTTGGAAGTAAGGGGTGGAAACAACCTCATAAAGTCACCATTCGACAAACATCTGGAAAGTTGAACCTTCAGAGGTTCTCAGGGTGGGACCAAACATGGCTGATTGCTTGCTGTTTGATCTTCTGGCATTGATTTGCTTATCATTTTGCCTATAGCTTACCATAGACGAGGAATCATTTTGTGACATTTAATGAAAACATTATGACATGTTAAGAGCAGTGGCATTCCTCCTATTGGATTCTTTCTAAACGGTGTTTTGTTTTCATTTTAGAGGTAATCCATTGATTGGGCTGTGAGTATTGGGGACTGTCTACTTATGTTAGTGGTGCTTGAATGAGCCAAGCTTAAGACATTTCCTGGCCCCTGCTGCAACTTATACTTCACGCTTTGTGCCATAATTACAGGTCCAGAAAGGTGGAGGAGGATGAATATGAAGATTCATCATCAAACCAAAAGTGGGTCTTGGCTCCAAAATCCCAAGACACTGATGTGACTCTTATTCTCAACAAATTGCTAAGAGAATATGATAAAAAGCTGAGGCCGGATATTGGAAGTGAGTGTTGATGTTTGTTATTCTAATAGAAAATATACTGTGATGATATATTTTTAAGTTTTTTGTTTTGAATAATTACAGATTCACAGGAAGTTGCAAAGATGGTGCAGAGTCACAGAATTTATGAGTGTAGTATGACAGCAAAGCCAGGAAATTGGCATGGGTGCAAGGTGTGTGCATGATTTCATGTCATTTTATTGTGTGTGGATTTGGTGGAAGGATCACGGCAATCAAACTACAGAACTGTTTCATCATCATAAAGATGCCCTCCTGCTGCCTCTTCATAGTCTCACCCACCTCCCTCCTCCAAAATTCCTAACCCTTGTCTGCCACTATTTGTTATTTCTGTATTTTGGTCATTTTTAGAATGCCACATACATGCAATCGTTCAGTATGTGACCATTTGAGATAGGATTTTCTTCCCTCAGCAATGTGATTTGGAGATCCATTCAAGTTTTGTGTGTTACTAGTAGTTCTTTCTTATAGCTAAGTAATCTTCCATGCCAGGAAGAAACACCTATTGAGAAACATTTTTGTTGCTTCCAGTTTTTGTTTATTACAAATAAAATGACTACATGCATTTGTATTCCGCTTCATGCATGGAAATACAATTTCATTCCCTAGGATGAATGCCCTGGAGTAGTATGATTACTAGGTTGTCTGATGAATGTTTAGTTTTTTAAAGAAACTGTCAAACTTTTTTTTTTTCCAAAGTGTCTGTACCATTTTCTAGTCAAACCAGTAATGTTTGAGAGATCCAGGTTCTTCTCTGTCTTCACCAGCAATGAGTATTGTCACTATTTTTTTTTAATTTTACCTGCTCTAATAGGTATAAATCTAATAGGTTGATGCTTCATTGTTGGTTTGATTTCCATTTTCCTGATGATGGTTAATGATATTGAACTTATTTTATGTGCTTATTTGCTAGCAATATATCCTCTTTATTGAAATATCTCTTTATATTAGTTGCCTTTAAAAACTGGATTATTTTGTTTTGTTTATTTTTTTTTCTGTTGAATTACTGAGTCCTTCATATAATCTAGGTAAGAGTCCTTTGCCAGATGTAGTTTGCAAATGTTTTTCTCTCAGTATGTAGCTTGTCTTTTCATTCTTTTAACAAGATCTTTCACCAAGGGAAAGTTTTTAATATTGATGAAATTCAATTTATTGATTTTTAAACATTTTTTGGAACATGCTTTTGAAGTAATGACAGAGAACTCTTCATAAAGCCCTAGTTCCTGAAGATCTTCTCCTTTGTTTTCTTCTGAAAGTTTTATAATTTTATGTTTTACATTTAATTCATTATCTGTCTTTATATAAAATCAGTGTGCGAGGTTTAGAGCTGAGTTCCCCCCCGCCATTCCCCCTCCCCCCACCCCTAGCTATGGGTATCTAGTTCCTCTATCACCATTTATTGAAAAGTCTATCATTTGTTGAATTCCGTTTATAACATTTGCCAAAAATCAACCAGCATAGGCTATTTCTGGATTCTCTATTTTGTTCTATTTATCTATGTGTTTATCACTGTGCCTATACCCACTTTCTTGATTGCTATAGTTACATAATGAGTCTTGAAATTGGGTAGATTGATTCAACCTCTTTATTCCTCTTTTTAAAAATTATTTTAACTCTTATAAGCCATTTATTTTCCATATAAATTTTAGAATTATCTTATCTATATCTAGAAAATCTTTTCTGATAAGTCTCTCTATTTAAGTATCTCTATTCCCAAACTCTATCAGTTTGGGAAAAATGCCATCTGCACTATGTTGAGTATTCAAATCCACAAATGTGATATGTCTTTCCATTTTAGATCTTCTTTAATATCTTGCATCCAGTATTTTATAGTCTTTAGTATACAAGTTCTGAATATATTTTGTTAGATTTACACCTAAGTATTTCATGGTTTTGGAGTGATTATAAATGGTACTGTATTTTAAAATTTCCTTTTCCCTTGTTCATTGCTAGATATATAGAAATACAGTTAATTTTTGTGTACTGATTTTGTGTTCTCGGACTTGCTGAAACTCACTCACTAGTTTAAGCAAGTTTTATGTGTTTGTTTTTTGATACATTCCTTGGGATTTTTCTGTACATGCCATCAGGTCATATGGGAAGTTTTATTTCTTGCTTCCCAATTTGTATGTCTTTTATTTTATGTTATTGCTTTATTTCACTAACTAGAACTTCCAGTCACCACTGAACAGTACTGGTGTGAATGGACAACTTGCTTTGCTCCAGATCATAGAGGAAGGACATTCAGTCTTTCACTATTAAGTGTAATGTTAGCTGTATTTTTGTATATATTTTTTTATCAAATTGAGGGAGTTCCCTTTATTTCTGGTTTTCTGAAAGTCATTTTTTTTTCTTTTAATCATGAACAGATGTTGAATTTTGCCAAATACATTTTAGGCATCAGTAGATGAGATCATGTGACTTTTTTTTTTTTTTGACCAGTTAATATGGTGGATTAGGTTGAGTGATTTTCAAATATTAAACCAGTCTTCCATCCCTAGAATAAGCCTCACAGTGTTATATGCTTGATAATACTATTTTTATTTTTTAAATTTTTTTAATTTTTTTAATTTTATTTTTTATAAACATATAATATATTTTTATCCCCAGGGGTACAGGTCTGTGAATCGCCAGGTTTACACACTTCACAGCACTCACCATAGCACATACCCTCCCCAATGTCCA